ACCCGGCTCTTACACACCACTGACGGCCGTATGCGTTACAATACGTTTCACGTGCGATGGGTTTGCAGATCAGTCCGAGATGGGTGAGGCCGGGTTCGGACTTGCAGAGGAGCGAGCAGGTGGTCTACAACTGCAGAGGTCTAGGCAGTGGTTCCTGTAACACACAGAAAGCCTCCAGCTCGCGCTGGAAGAAGTAAGGACGCGGGCGGAAGGGAATTCGAAGCCCCCCCCAGGCTCTCGGATAAAGGCTGCCTGCCGTGGCCCATGGTTCCACAGCTGGTGTAATTAATTCATTTCCTTCATCTTTCATAACGCGTCCAACCAGGCGTGAACGCGTTTATAACTGTAATAAAGTGAACTGTAAAAAGGCTGTGCAAAATACGCTTTATATGTCTAATTAAACCAGGAGAGACTAGACCTTCCCAGAACCGAATTTGGCAGGTCTGGTTCCATAGCGAAAACCTGAGGAATGTTTATAGGACCTCTCACGATACAGTATTCCCGCGACAGCACACTCATGCCAAATCACAGAGTAAGCAGACACAGTTCGGAACATCACACAGAATAAACAACAGGCGGCACAATAACTGTCTAAACTAAATATTTAATCGAGTCTGTTTGTGTTCACGGAGCGGAATGGCAGGTTGCCCCAGACAAGGCGTAATGACCATGTCTACCACTAGATGTCGCCAAAGCGCATCTTCAGAGCTCATTCTATATAGTTTATCCTGTGGACATTGTTTTACTAATTGCATGGATTTTCTCATGTTTTTTTTTTTGTGGCTATGTGTTGGTAGAGCAGAGGACCACTTTATTTAAATGCAGTTGCTTCTGAGTTGTGTTAGACAGGGTACAATGTTAGATTTTGTTTTGTACCGGCATATAATGTTAAAACTTCACAAAAATGCCGGGATCACTGATTAGCAGGATCACGGATCACTTGATTTACCATCAGTGTGCGCGAACGTTATGTGTGAAATTGCTTGGAGCCACACTAGCTGAGCCAAGGACCTTGCACATGAAAGAAAAGGTGCATATAAACAGGTGCAACAATTCCGAAATCCTGCCATGAAGACATTCTGCTGCGTGTCAGTGTGAGTTCAGCGTCTGCACTCTCACAGGTTGTTTTTTTCAAGTGCTCGGTTTCTGCTTGCTGCACTCATTAATGCATGCCTAATGAATACGGGACACCTGCAGACAGGAGGAGGACTGGAGGCGGGAGCGGATCTTTACAAGTGAGCACACACGGGGAAATTATTCGGGAAACATGACGGAGGTCACTGAGTGGAAGGGCAAGGACTCCCCCCTGGATCGGCTCAGACTGCCTGTTGTATTAGATCGGACCCCCGATCGGCACCGGCTGGAATCACATCAAACGAATCAGGGGTGCGAATGAATACAAGAAGACAGTCCTTTTGTAACTCTGCTTTATTCTTCTAATTACAAGCCTCTAAGTGCACAGTTTGTCCGGACCTGTGTCACATTTGAACACAAACTACCGATGTGGAACCAGGGCAGGGGAAACGAGATCTGCTAAAGATTTGCTCTGAACAACGCAGAAAAAATGCCCACAAAATAAAACAGTCAGGGCTAACTGATCATACTTCCCCTCTAAGAGCTTACTGTGGTATAGCACAGTGAAGCTGAAGCTAAGCACCATGGTGTCATTGTAAAAACATTGTAAGACACAGGGAGCTGTGGTAAAGCGTGGTACAGATGTGAACACTGTGGCGAAGAAGGGAACGCCAGTCAGCAGGCCTCGTGCCCTGGGCTCCTCTGCAGATTCACCACAAAAAACTGCCACAGGTGGCCACTTGAACCCACTTAACCACTGTGCTCTCTGCTAAGCTGTACAACTGTAATTATTAATCATTCTGTCTCTTGTATGAGCTGCTCCCTGGTGACTTCCACCCAATAATAATCATAATTTATACAGTGCTTTCAATCTCCTGCAGGGCAGAACAAAGACGCGATATTCCACAGATAAAGTAACGTCCGAGGACAGACACAAGTGCAGAAAGCAATGGGAGGTTATATTACAAACCAGGGTGGCAGGTCTGAGGAATCGGGTCTTTAAAGGGCTTTTAGAAAAGAGACAGAGCTTGTGACAGAGTGTCACACAGCCTCAGGCAGCGTATTTCCCTGTTTCCGTGCAGAAGAGCAGACCGGCTGCTGCCAAACAAGAGGGACCGGGAAAACACCGCGGATCAGAACCCAGTGGCCAAAGCTGGCAGGGTGGAGAGTAATACACCAGATACACCAGCAGGCCTGTGGAGCAGCAAGACACCAGATTACCTAGGGCTTTTCAAGTCAGAAGGTGGGCTTGTAGACGATTCCCAAACCTGACTGGTTGCCAATGCAGGGAGGCCAGGACGGGAGTAGGACTCGGAGATCTGGTTACAATTCCAGCTATTTCATGTTATTGTGTTGGGGAATAACCAGACTGACTCTCACCAGGTGGCTCTGGCCAGCTTAGAGAGGAGTCTGACTTCTGTCAGAGGCTCCAGTTGGCTGCAATAAAACCTTCCATTTTTTCAGA